TAGACAATATCCAATTTTACATCCTCTTAAACATAGTCTCCTAGTTTACTACCCAGACAATACCCGATTTGACTCCCAAAACCAATACCACTGCTTGATGTTACATCCCATCCAATTCATCCCCTGTCCGAGGACTGGTATGAGCAAGAGAGAAACGGCTTTTGGAAGGAAATTGTCGCTGCTTGAGATTTTTTTCTGTGATTTTTTTTTTTTTTCGTCTTCTTGGAAATACTATCGATTCGAAAAATGCAGGTGTTTGCCACTCTTACGTTTATTTTTTTCTTATTCTCTCCTTCTTCTTCACTGTCATCATCAAATGTACAGGAAGGCACGAAAATCACAGAAGAGAGAGAGAGAGAAAAAGAGTCTTTACTTAAAACAAGTTGTTGTGAAGTCATAAAATAAAATGTTATTTTTGCATATTAAATTAATGTGCAGGTCGAAAAAGAAGGAATTATAAGAGAGGTAGACATAAAATTTCTTCATTTACATAAATGCACGAATCATAAATGAGTAAAGGACTTGAAATGCAAAGAATAAATTATGGGTGTATTTATTGCATCCTCACCTTACCTATCATCTTTACTTTAGCTCATCTAATTTAATATTTATTTTTTTTATGTCTAGTGACACTTGACAAGACTAAAGAAATAAATATTGAGTATATAAGAAGTAGGGGAATAAATTATGATCGAGTGTCGATATGCAAATTTTTGGGTCATAAATTTTGTATCAATATTTAAAAGTCATATTGTATAACGACTTTAATGTCACCATAATCAATGGTATTAAGGAGGATAGATGCTGATCCTCACAAAATTGTCTCCTTTTTGTGGTAAATCATTGACTCAGAAATTAAATTAGATGAAAAATTCTCAAAGATCGTAAAAAATTAGCAAAAATATTTTGATGATAGTCATAACAATATTTAGAGGATGCTCAAGACTATTAAAAGATGTACGACAACATTCCTTAGATTGCGAAAGATCAAGTCAAAAACTTAGTTATTGATAATTTTAAATGCAAATGACACTCGTTGAATATGATAAAAAATTCAGTTCCAAATTTTCATGTGATTATAAAACAATTTTGACTTCTAGACAGGTTGAAATATTATCTTAAGGCCATTTTCCTAGTTGAAGGTCGAATAACAAAGAAACTTATTTGTATTGTTGTGAGTAGGGTTCATATCTGTAAATTGACTTTAATCCTAAAAATTTGACATACATAATGTCTTACACTACATTGGTTAATAGTTTTCTTCATTGCAAATAAATTCATTACAAATAAATTCTTTGATAAGCTACAGATCAGCAGATTTTGATCAAATTTTGGTTATAGGTTAAGCAACTTAAAATTCATGTTACTAAGAAACATCAGTAATTTGTTTGTAATCAATAACAACGATATCCTGGAGTATTAAAATGATTGAATGAACATGTTTGTTGGGAATCGATCCTCCGACCTCTTTAATCAGAGAGTTGCAGATTCTTGGTATGTTTCCTTTCCACATGACTACAAAAGCTTTATTCTTAAATTAGCAGATTTGCCAACATATTGTTCGATACCCAAAATTTTACTATGCTCTGACATTTGAAATTTTCAATTCCCGAAGAATTTACAAATTTTTATGAATAATTCATATTTTATTAAGCCTAGCTGTTTGCATTATCTTAACATATATTTCAATATTTGCACAGTTAATCTTATATAAGATTTTACGAGAAAATTAATTCAAGTTTCAAGTTTTTTTTAAACTGATAAAAATTCCGAAAAACGAGACTGGTTATCACCTTACGTTATCTATGCTCATCTGCATACGACAATGAAAGCATTCGACATTTATTCTTAATTAAATGAAACATGTTTGGTGTTATCATGTAGTGAGACGTTACATTATATTGTTAAAGAAGAACAAGACATGTATTGCATAGTATTTAATGCTTCTGCATTGTTCCTTTAGAGTTGACAAAGGAAATGCTTAAATATATTTATTAAGGAATGTTCACGATTCCAAAAATTGGTTGTAAATTTCAAGAAATCATCAAGCTACATGGGAGACCTCCCAAAAACCTATATGAACTTTCTCATGGTAAACTCATGTACTTTTTCCTTTCTTTTATCTTCATTTCGTTTTGTTGGTCCAAAAAAAATTAAAAATATATAAAAAGACACAAAGTTATGAGGCTCATAAGAACAGGTAAATTTCAGGCATGAGAGAGAAAAAACTGTTCATGCAAGCACAACAAAACAATTGAAATTCTTGTTTTTCTTCTCTCTTTTGCACATGATGTGGAATGAAGGAATGCAAGAAACTACAAAAAAATATTCTCACGCATTTTTATTTTTTTTTTCTTACACCTGATCATTTGCCTAAATATATTGCTATTCTAACTGGCCTTCGTTCCCATGACTTGGATTCTACTCAATTACTTATACTTACTTAATACGTACATGTTTTTATCTCGTTTATTCTTAGGTCTTAAGAATGTTACTTTGAAAATTATAATTAGAAACTCATGATCATGAATAACTTAAGATGATGATGATGAGAATATTACTTAAATAACAAATTCGTCGTCTTCCTACTTATTCGGTCAAGAATTCTTTTATGACGAAACGAAGATGATGACTGTCGAAAAAATTAACTGAAGGTTCCATTAATTTGCAAATTTTTGTATTCTTCATTTCACGTATTTTTTGCATCATTCTATTTAATTAAACAGGTTTGGATATCTAAATGCTGGTATTTCTTAATCTTTATTGTTGATTTGTCTCTTCAAATTAACACATTCTGAAGAAATAAACTAAGAAATATTTGCATGCATATTCATCAGTTTATCTCCATCTTAAGAATGTGTTTTGCCAATTCATTGTGTGCTTTATGACTCAATATATTGTTTGTACATGAGAAACAACAAGTGTCTAAGAATAACAAGTATGCCATTAAACCGTTGAATTTTCAATAATCTAGAACGAAAAATAATTTTGCTCAATAAATTTTATAATTTATAGATTTTGCGGTATTTGATAAAATTCCGTGAAACGTAAACAAATGTTTGATATTTTCATATTTATAAAGATCTCACATTTTATAAGAAGAGAATTGATTATAGGATATAGATGTCGAGAATTCTTGAAATATTTGACTAAAAAAAGAAGAAACAGTAATAAAATTGGATATAAACAGATGAGAGATAGGATTTGTTTTCGTAATTGATCGTTGTGTTGAATTGGGAGAGTTCGTGAATTAGAGTTTTTAAGGAACTCCTAAATTTTGGCATTTTGAATTGGTAATTGAGTGGATTTTTAAGTTTTTCTAGTCAAATAATAATTTCAACACATTCATCAATTTTTTAATTTACTTCCAATGACTGTAAACAGTGTTGTTCGGTGGTTTTTTGGCTTGGATGAGATCGGGTCTGAGTTGAACTAATCAGTAATAAAGGAACGGCTTGCAAAGACTAGGTAATGACATTTAAACTTTAATGTCGTATAGATTAAAACTCTAATCTTAGTTTCTGGATGTCTAATTGAACATTATCACTCAAACAATTGCAACTGGAAACTTCATTGCTTCATAATGATTCCAAAGAACACAAATGATCCATTAAGATTCCATTTTGATCGTACATTATTGCAAATTGTCTATTTATGTTGTTCTGGGATTATATCATTCTAAATTGCAAGATTTGGGGCAAACTCAAATATTTAAGTTATTTAAGCATGAGATTTCTATAAAGAAATAAAAATAATGTTTAAAAATTTAGTTCCAAAGTTAAAAATCTCATTTACTAGTTTTAAATTTAAATACATAAAGTTCCCACCAGATTCACTACAAATTGCTTTGCTCCAAAAAAAAATAATTTTTCTCATCCAACCCAAAACTGTCAAATTGTAAAATATTGTTCCCGCAATTATTAAGCTGTTTACAACAATTCCAGCCATTCATCAATCTTGAAATCTCAATACGTACGTGAATTTTTGCGAATAAAAAAACTAAGTACTATAAAAAGTTCAAAAAGATATTATACGAAATACCAGACAGAATCGATTCATTTAATGAATAATTAAAGTGAATTCCATTAAAAAATGAAAAATGATCAGGTATTTCAGACACAAAGAATGATTCTGTACCCAAAAAATATCAAGCGACATTTATTTTCGCACAATTGACATATTTTGTTTGCTTTGTAATCAATTTGTGACTCAGAGAATTATGTTGTGGCATTAAAAAGAATTTTTTATTCATTTTTATTGTTGTTATTCTTAAATCACTGAAACACATCCCGTCTCTCATGAAAACTGATAATGATGAATTCATTTCTCAGCCAAGTGTTCAGTATAAAAAAGAAATTGTTTGTTTATAAATAAACATTCGTCTGAACTTTCCATGTGCACCTAAAATAAGAATGTCGTACACATTTTATATAGTTTGAGCTGATAATGGAGAAATATGAAGTGCTTGACATTCTTGAATCAGACGATAAAATCTCAGTCAAATATTGTAATCAGTTAATGACATTGAGTGTAACATATTTCACGGAATAGAGATAAATTCTCATGATTCACGTTAGACTCTCAAATTACATATTATACATGCAATAGGGGTTCATCTAGTGTGCATTAAATAACCGACGATACATTTGTATTTACTATTTTTACTCTCACGATTCTCTCAAGATTCTCTCAGTTCGGCACCCGAAGTTAAAAAAGAGGCGTGTTTACGGCATTTTCGTATATAAACTCGCTCACCCCCGAGACAAAAATTTCATTCTCGCTCTATTCGTCAATACGTGAACATCGTTTCGCCATTCGAAAATTTAATTGTCTCGTGTTGTAACCTGAGTATAATAAAAAATATTTAAATTAAATTAAAATTTACAAAACAAGAAGAAGAAATTTACGCATTGTCAGTTCATTGAAATCGTGAAAATTAAGCGACAAGAAGAAGTGAAAACAAAAAAAAATCAGATTTGTGAAACAAAATAAGAAAGAAGAAAAAAAAGAGAAAAGTCTGAAGAAAGAAATAATAAAAAGTTAATTATTATTAACAAGTGGTTTCATCAAGAAAAAAAAATAGAAATATTTTAGAGAAAGTTTATTGACTAGCTGCGCTGAAAAAAAAATAAAAATTAACAATTTATTGGCAAAAAAAGTTGTCAATAAAAAAAAAGAAATAATTTAAAGTGAATTTAAATAAAAAAGTTCAAAAAATCCGAGTTGGAATTAAGCCGGATTTTAAAACTTTTCAAACCCACAAAAAGTGTAATTAAAAAGCCGTCAAAATTCAACAAAAAAAGATGAAAGCAATCACAGCTGTGGTCTCAACAGGCGCATCAGTGCCATCAATAGCCAGCGGACGTATCTCACGTCATCGAGATGGTGAAAATGCAGAAATTCAAATGTACATCAGTAAGCTTAAAGATCTCGTGCCCTTCATGCCAAAGAATCGTAAACTCTCAAAGCTTGAGGTCATCCAGCATGTCATTCAATACATTTGTGATTTACAAACTGCACTTGACACTCATCCTTCAGTAAATGAATTTGATGCAGCTGCAGTACTCGCTGTACAAAATCATGTCATCGAGCAAATGAGTCCCCGACAACCACTCCACGTGAGACCTAGTCCAAATACAATTTTACCTTCAAATAATTACAATAGCACCACCTCACCTCAACAAATTTACACATCCAGTGAGTTTTCATCGTTAAATCATAATGTAAGTATTTTTTTTCTTCACAAATCAACAAAATATAATATATTACTAAGAGCCTTAAACAGCCTTGACGAAATAATGGATTTGCATTTCAAACAAAGGAGAAGTTCCATTTTTCCATGATTTTTTTTTTTATTCATCTCCAAAATAAAATGAACAGCACAGAGTAGATAAATTTAAACGTGAAGCAACACACAAAAAAAAAATATATACTTTTTCCCATAAAAACGAACTCACGTAGTAATTTGTAAATTAAATTTTTCCGCTGTTTGTATTTTATTTTCTTTGCCATTTGGTGAACACCTGCATTTCATTTTTGTCGAAAGAGCCGTGATTTTGTAATGTTCGACATAGAGAGAGCGAATGCTATAGACAAGATACAATTTTTTGAATATTGTGTGTCGTTAAAGCTCTCTTTTATTTCGTGCGTCAAGGCTCACCTGGCCAGACAATCACGACTCTGTTGTTTTTTTTTCGGCAATGACTATTCATCAACAATCGCTTTGAGATCAATCATTGTTATGGCTTTAAAATGAGATTGCGCTTAATTAAAGAAATATTTTCTCTCATTGTGCTATAGCTTTTGAAGTGGCGTCTAAAAAAATATTGTGTCGAATTAAATAGTAGCATATTTCAAACTGGTTCTCAATCATCGCCACAACAGTCATAAATTATTCATTTTCACACAATGAAACCTATAAAAAAAGAGATATGTGAAGTTTACTATTTTTTTCGCATTTTCTCATCTCTTTACATGTCAAAGAGGCTCTTTCGGGGGCTGTACATCAATGATGTCTAACTTTTAAACTTCTTTTGGTCAAAAATGCTCATTTTAGTGACATTACTTTACTGATGCAACAGTAGCATCAGACTTCGTTTTAACATAACTTATCTGACACATGAATCAGGTCTTAAACTCACTGCAAGACCCATTCTGTCTCTGTCTTTTTAATTTTCACGTCAATCAACACCACAATAAGTTACACCATAAATGTATCATCAAAAAAAAATGCATACCTCCCCGTACACCGTACTCTCGAGTGTGAGAAACTTTCTACTTTTTTTTTCTTCCTGCATTTCAAACTCAATCACGATGTGTTTTTTTTTTGAAAAAAAAATATAAAGAAAAGCAGCACGCAGTGATGCATGAAGTTGAATGGAAAATTATGCAGTCACCCATATTGATATACATACATAAAATACCTGTGTGAATGAATGGAGACAATAATAATAATTTTTTTTAAAAAAAAAGAGATTGAATGACCAGGCAATATTATTATTTATATAATCACTGATGAACGACTTCCCACCAATTAAGTATACTTGTGCTCCGTTAACTGCCATCCATGAGAAATGTTGACATACAAATTAAAGTTTACAATCTGTCTAAAGAAATTAAATTTATGACAAAATTATTAAGTTGGCGGGTTCATCAGGCCTGATTCCAATATTTATTTAGATTATGAAAATGTCGTATTAATATTTGCAATGTTTATATACACAACAAGCAATCCCGTATGAATAATTTTGTATGTGAGATCTCGATTCACAAAAACAAAATTGTAATGAAACGCATGAGAGTATGAGAGAGCGAGAGGGAGATGCACAGAAGATGAAAATTGATGATGACGAAAATAAAATCCATGTTTATAATATATATTAAAATGAATTGTGAGAGAGAGATTGTGAACACTTGCACAGGCGGTTAATTAAATTCCATATCGAACTTTTGCACGTGTTCAAATTGAGAAGCAAAAAAGCGTTATTTTTTTTTAATATACAGAGGCTATATACATACATGTATATTTGTATGCCTTCGAGGAGTGGACGTCGATGTCTCATTGCATTTAATAATCAAATGTATCACATTTTGTATTAATGTCACTAGTAAAGTGGGCGAACGGCATTTATTATTTCATAAACTGATTCCAGAGGGCGAAGTCGACTCGAATTTTGTATGGAAAAGTCGACTTGAGTTCACTCGACTTCATACAAATTTCGAGTCGACTTCGCCCTCTGACTGATTCTCTTTCTTTTGTGCCTGTCTGTATACAATTGTATACAATAGTAACATGGAAAGGATGGATTAATAGCGGATATGCTACACATCAAAAGGTGTACATTGCAATTTTATGGTTTATTATTTTCAATTTCAAACCTTTAATTTATTTCCTATTGTTCTCAACTGTATACAACAACAATAGCTTGAGAGCAGAGGAACGGGAAAAAATTAACTTTCATTGTCTCTCTTCTAGAGCCGCGGCGCTGATTAATTGCGTTGAGAATTTAAAAAGTACTTAAAATGTCTTACTTGCTGATTGTATGTTTCATATATGCACGTGGTCGTCGTGAGAGATTTATTATAAACATCACGGATTACAGTTTGTCCTCTGGCCATAGTTAATGGCGCACTAAAAAGATCTTAATCCATTAATGTCACAGTAACTGCTCTCATTTAAATTATAATTTTCATAAAATGTCCCCACTTCCCTTTATGTGTCTTAAAGACGATGATTTTGGAATATACCCAACTATCCGGCTGTTATTGATTAAAACTTGCTCTCCTCTCAACGACTATTTCCACTTTATGATTCTCAATTGCTTAAAAATGCTATATACAGCACAACTAGCGCATTTCTGAAGAGAATTATTAAACACGTGTTCAAGTTAAGAAATATACAGAGCTACAATGTACAATTATGACTTCATACCCCAAAGACCTTTGATTTTGCTTCACATTCCTCCTTACTTCTCATTCCATACATTATTTTTGTGTGTGTGTGAGTGTAAGTAACGCAAATGTTTATTCATGAGACGAAGTCAAGTCATGGTGATATTAATTTGATAAACATGATGAAATGAACTTGAATCAGTTGCGGTCTGTGATGTGATGAATGAATGAATGAACATGTAGAGTCTTATTTTTAAGACAATAAAAAATCTTTCACATATATATGCACGCGATAATAATCTTCAATTGAAAATATGAACATGTGGATGTGAACAAGAAAGAATTAACGAGCATAAAAAATTATTTTCATTCAAATTTATGTCTTGCGTCTTTTAGTGAAAGCAAATCCAGTTTTTTACGTCTTTGTGGGGATCGTTCGTCAATGATGTCTATATATGATACTCAAAAGATGCTCCACGGGTGAGCATTAAGTTTACAAAAAAAAAACAAAAATAGACATCATTTACGAATGACTCCCTTACAGCTGTACACTATAATTACAACTCTATGCAAAAATCAATGCAACATTTTACTAACCAATTTCTTTTCTTTTTTTTATATCTTGCAGACAGACGAAAAACAGTCGTGTTAAAACCAATTTAATGCGCTTTTGATCTCAGAGGAGCCCACAAAAAAAAAAAGAATTAAAAATATTGTTTTGTTTTAAACGCTGAGGATAAATGTTTTGACGTTGCATCAAACACTACTTCTCAACATCTCTGTATGCAATTTTAATCATTAATATTATTATAATATTATAAGTGAATATTACGAGTAAATACAAATTCTTAGTTACGTCAAAAATAATAAAAGAAATACTGGATACAAAATTAATAGAGCATAGATTTTTCTACGTTTAAAAAAAAAGACTACAATATGATGGAAAGATGTCTGAATATTATGTAACATAATTGGTTATTATGGTGATGAAGGCGTTGGTGTGATCTATCGAGTATGCTGTAAATCTACAATGGGAAATTGATATATCCAACAGCTCAAATTCCAGACTATAAACTCGTCTGCAAAAATCGGTTTCAAAAATCATTTGCAGTCACCCGCACCCTTCAAAACCATTTCATGTTTGGTGGACATGTGGAACTATCACTATGAAGCCCCAAAATTCACACAAAATAACAAAATAATTGAGGAGCAAATCAATCCATAAAAAAAATACTTTTTTAATTTGATTAATTTAAATAATTGAAGTTCTGTGATCTGTAGATTATTATTTTTATTTTATAAATGAAAAATAAATGGATTAAAAGAACATTTTTTTTTTGTCAAAATGAATGGAATGTACAAAAGAAAAAAATAATAAGCTATGCCGCGAGAAACGCAATGAATTATAATTTAAATAGTAATTGGAATGGCAAATTCCAAGTAATTTTTCTTTGTTTGATCGTTTTCTTTCATTTATACTTAAAATTCTCTTTAGTTTTTTTTATATTATTTGTCAAGAAGCAACAACGTTGTCATGCCTTGCATGAATGTTGAAACAACAAAATTAAATTAAACACTTGCGAAAATATTATTATATGTAGATGGAACAAAAGAAAAAAGAGTCATAATCGCAATGAAATACAAAAAAAAATTCTTATCAATTGTTTATGTTTTTTAATTATGAATGAGAAAAAAATTAAATAATAAAAAATGAACAAAAAATAGCTGTAAAAATTAATTTGCGCAAATTGTTTATATTTTTCATTATTTTTATGTTGCGACCCATTAAGTTTACATTTCAGGTGTTTGTGGCGTGCAAAAAAAATATACACGAGGGGACTAGTTTTGAATAAAATCGGTTTAAGCTGTTTTCATTCAAACTTCTTTTTCAAATTTGTTTCTCTAATTTCAAATTCAAGATTTTCTAAAACACCCCAAATATTCAAACCAAGGACCCCCAACTCAATATAATGAAAAAATGTTAAAACCAACAACTTGTAACTCGATATTGAGTCAAACTTTATTTCATCAGCCATTTAGGTGCGAAAAACTAAGCTTTGAATTCAATTAGTGTAAATGAAAAATTAATTGGTTATTTTTAACTGTCAGTTCTGGGTTGAAATTAACATTTGCAGATTTTTTTTCGTATTTCTACACTAATTTGCTAGCTTGACTGGGATTTATAGTGCCCTTTAACCAGAGTTGCGAAACAGGTCACCTGTGACAGGTGAGAACCTTTCAATTCCTTGATAATTTGTATGGTTTTGTTAGGAAAACCTTATAAATTATCAAGGAATTGTAGGGTTTTCACCTGTCACAGGTGCCTGTTTCGCAGCTCTGCCTTTAACTGTATTATTATGAATTTGTTGGCATTTGATGATTGGAAGTTTGGAAATTTTGATGTTGTTGCAAATCTGAAGTTTTTGTTGAGTATAATTGGAAAATTGTGTTTTTGTGGGTTATGCAATTATTTTACAGCAACTACTTCACTTTAGATATGCTCGAATTTGAGAATCAATTGAATTTTCAGTTTTCAGCTACTGTAAGGTGCCAGCTTTTTTTATTACCAATAATATCCTATATAATGAAATTGAATTCTCGTAGGAATCGAACCTGCGTTTGCACGCAAATTTCTAGTCTCAACAATTAAGCTACAAAACTTTTTATCTTGCATTGGCAGATTCTTTAAAATATAGCTTACATTTCCCAATTTGTTCACAACACATCCAAAGCACAATAAGAATCGTTTCTTTAATTTTCAGACATTGATCAGATACATTTAGACACATGTGTTTTGATGGCTGTGATGCTTGTTTGGGAAAAACCAAATAGGAATCATCCAAAACTTAATTGAGGATCAAGATTCAGCTGTTCAAAAGTCAACTGAATGATTCTATTAAACAATGCGTGAATAGTTTTGAAATTTGAATGTTTTTAATAGGGTTGGTTGTTAACTACGTAAGCAAGTAGTTCATATATCAATTAAAAAGCATTTATTAATTGTCCAGCAGATAGCAAGTCAAGATGGAACCCTAATACGACTGTTCAAAAAATCCTAATCAAGCTAGTTAATGTAGACAAAAGAATTTTAATCATAAATGGTAAAAAGCTCAGCATTAGAATCAGATGATTGAACAATCGTTGAATGCAGCTTCGAGTCTCAAATTGGGTTGTTACTTCAATTCATTCTAGATTTCAAATAGAGACATGAAGCAAACAAACAAGCTCTACAATTTACAAAATAACTTATGAATCTTAATCGATGCCTAGTCGTTAAGTTTTTAATGCAATCTTTATAAAAATTAAAAACCACATTCGGCTCGCCAAAAAAAAATCTTCCAAACCATCAAAATAATCACAAAATTTCATCAAGAGCCATAAAATTCAAAGATCATTTCCACTTGAAATAAAATCGCGCATCGATTTCGCTCGAAAAATCATATTCATGCAATTTTATATTTTATTTTTTTTTTTCGCTTTGAAATGTCGCTTTCTATAAGTGCCTCCTTCAGTGACTTATCGATTGAATATCAAATTACGGCTGCAACGATGAACGTTGAGAAAAATAAACACATATAATATGGGAGTATAAGTTAATTGTAATGTTGCGTGCCCAAGTGTTCATTTACTCTTCTTAGTCATCCCATTCATATTCGTCTTCTTCCTCTGCTCGCTGCTAATAAGGCGCTCTAATATTGAAGTAAGACAAAAATTGAGTGGGGTGACATAATAATATGAATTTCTTTTTACTCGTAATAGACCCACTCAATTGTAAAGTTTTTTGAGTCTACACAAATGTACTTAAATGTAATGAAACAAAAGAAATTCGGGCTCAATCGATAGAAGAGAATTTTTATAGCATTTTTTAAGTGTCACCTCGTGTCATAAAAATTTAAGAAAATAAAATTTAATTAACACGACTTGTAATGTCTTCTCAGCCATATAAATAAGTAAAATTTTAAAATTAATAGTGCTATTGATACAAAAGATTAATCGCTTCAGTTGTGGCACCAATAAATAACTAGTAACTCTTCAGATAAGCCAAATGTAGGGTTTTTGTTAATTAAAAGATTTTAACGTTAAACGGGTTTCAAAAATTTAAATTTTCAATGATTTTTTAAAAAAATGAAATTAAAGAGGTTGAATTTTTGATAAGTTGCGTGTTTATACAATTTAATAATTAAGTTCAACTGGCTGATATGTCAAACCCAAGCTTTCTACAATATTAAGAAACTTCTATTCAACAGCAAGCATAGCTAGCCATCCAAACCAAACTGTATTATTAAACAAAATTTCTCAAAATCATGCAAAAAAACCTCAATCATGACTTTTATAGCAGACATGTCCACTTTTTTGTTTAAATTTCATCAACCTCTTATTTGCCATTTTTGAGTGCAAATTTCACCTCTCTTCTTAAATCAACCTTGCAAGAAGGTGTGGCATCTACTTAAAGTCGGAGAAGTGAACCTTTTGCAGGTAGACATTCATGTGCACCTTTCTATATATGTAAATTATTTTTTGTTGATTAAATCTATGCATAAATTACATTCCTAAATCGCCCTAAAAGTTACCTGAATAAAGCAATAATAAAAATATTTTTTCATGTCAGGTGTAACTTGAGCCTTCAAGTCGTTTTGCATCAATTCGCATTAAACAAACTTTTAAACAGCACCGAACAGTATGCCTCAAAAAATAGCAGGTCTAAGAAATTTAAAATCAACGTCAAATAAAATATCTTTATGGTCGAAATAATTGATAGACAAGCTACCATCTAATTATCAAATTTATATGTGAAATCAATCGACCATATTCTATCTCGAATGAATCATTTTTGGTTGTTGTAAGAAGAGGACATAAAGAGTTTAATATGAAAAAGATTTTGCTTGTTTTCGCTCATTTTTATACATTGCACGGCCAATAAATCTCAGAAAAAAGCGAATTGAATGCCTAACAGGTGTTTCCACTTAAATCAGAGCTCTCTCTTTTTCCTCTACAGTTTTTAATAATTTTTTATTTTATTTTATTATATTTTGCTTTATATTATTTGTTGCTAATATTTGAGCCATAGATGATTGTTTGCTCGGCCAGCTGCTAATGTCTTTCAGCTGACTATCGTTATGATCTTGATTCATAGAGAACAACAAAGATTTTCTTGCTTATGAGCTTGAATTGGGAATTTTTACAAGTATGAACACAGAAATGGTAGCAATTAAGGAGGCAGTAGAAACTACTAATTAAGTTTGTGAGCAACTGGGTTCAAAGCGCATTTTAAAAGACAAGAATCAGCGAACAAATAAGACCTTTATATCGATTTGATGTTCTATAGAAATAACTGGCTGATGCTTACTTAAAGAAGTAGGTTTTATGACTGACTTCAAAGTGGAATCTAAAGGTTATGAGGCTATATGTAAGCTACCCTCCAAGAACCTCAATGAATGAGGTTGATCAACTGACAGAAATCCTTTAATAATATCTTTTTGACTACTTGGGTTCGATTCTGACCGAATTCTGAACCCTCAATCAAATAATAGAGTATTTGAAGATACCCCAAGTATCAAAAAGTTCAAATTGAAGGGATATTACTTGGTTTTATTCACAAATGTCGCTGCCAAGCTGCTTTGGCTCAGTAATATATAGTTTCATGACAGCCAAACACACGGATAAAACAATGATTGGAAAGTGATAGATTGGCACTATGTATATTATAAATAAGTGTACGTAACATAGCTAGCAGTGGAACTTCCTGATCTTAATAATTATTGATACTCCCAAAACATTGAACCATCTAAAATGAAACCAGAACGTTATTCCTTCGACGATAAGTTTCAATGGACAAACCAACAGACTGATTGACAAGAACTAGCTATATAATATTAATTGAAAAAATGCTGTTAAAGAATATGAAATTATGAGAGATTATTAAATTAATTGTGAGGCATGTGCTCCGGTTTTCTTTTTCTCATTAAGTCAGCCATCTTATTTCGCATGATTTCCCTAATCGAAACCAGAACCTGTGACAAGTTCCGCAAGTTCTCCTTCACAAGCAACATCAAAATAATTCTTAGATAAATGCACATTTAAAGAAAAAAGTTAATTAATAAATTATTGTAAGTGGAACGCATTCAGTTATGTTGAATAAAAATAATTTTTAAGGTGTTTGAATTTTTGTTCCTCACAGATTTTTTATTTTTATTGCGACCATATGTCAGTGTAGCGTTGAGATTCCACAGTGGAATTATTTCTGCATCATGTGGAGCAATTAAATGCTATTAAACTCTCTCGCTACTCTCTTAAGATGTAACCATATTCATTCGATACACAGTTAATTG